CGGCGCATGACGGCGGTCGAGGCGGTAGACTGGCTGACATACGTAGAAAACATGATGCATCACCTAAAAGCGCGCTCACTCCACGAATGGAGTGGCTACGAACATGCTCGCCAGATAGATGGATGACCAGGTTGTTAAGCAGGGGTTACACGCTACAATTTGCAGCCCAACCCCCTCCGTTCGGAGGAGTTTTAGAGACAGTCCTGTCTTCACCAGACCAGGTCTCATACCTAAATGCAGAAGTCCAAGAACTTCTGGTAAAAGAGGTGATCTCCAGGGTTCCCGACAGAGAGGAAAACAGGTTTTTACTCATGTTACTTCCTGGTTCCAAAACGGACCGAAGGGACGAAACTGATTTTGGACCTGTCAGTTTTCACAAGGCGATCATGGACAGACCGTTTCACATGTTGACAACCAGACAACTGTTAGACAACATCCAGAGAAACGACTGGTTTGTTTCCATTGATCTGAAAGACGCCTACTTCCATATACCAAAAACACCGAAAACACCGAAAATTTCTGCGTTTCTCCTTTCAAGGGATGCAATATCAGTACAACAGGCTGCCATTTGGGTATTCCCTCGCGCCTCGTACGTTCTCAAAGTGTGTGGAGACGGCCCTGCAACCATTACACAGAGCAGGGATAAGGGTTTTGTTTTACCTGGACAACCTGCTGCTGCTGTCACGCTCCAGATGGGAAGCAGCGGCGCAGACTCAGGTGCTGATGTCACACCTGTTAAATCTGGGCTTCGCCATAAATTGGAAAAAAAGCTCTATTCTCCCGGCCCAGACGATTATCTGGGAGTGGAGCTAAACTCGACCACCATGAGGGCTCATTTATCACAGACGAGAATCGACACTCTAAGAGTCCAGCTCCGATCTAAGACCAAATCCAGCTTTTACGCCTAAAAACATCATGAGCTCTTTTAAATCAAGAGCAATATCGTTGGAGGGGTTTTTCCCTCCCCCCCACAAATCAGAAGAAGAAGCATCTTCCATCTTCTCTGTCCTGTGTGGACATTGACGTGTTATATAGCGCGCACAGTTGCAATGCGTCAAACTCAACATTTGTTTGTGCATTATAGCGATGCATCTGCAGGCCGCCCGTTATCCACCCAGCGCCTGTCACACTGGCTGTGTGAGGCCATTTCTGAAGCCTACAGAGCATCAGATTTAGAGCCTCCTGTCAACCTCAGGGCGCACTCGACCAGAGGTATCGCATCTTCGACTGCTTTGCATAATGGTATGACAATGCAGGATATTTGCACTGCGGCCGCGTGGTCAACACCCTGTTCATTTGTCCAGAGGACCAGATTGAACTTTTTTGGATTTTTCTACCTGGATTATTGAGCATGCATCAGGATACCCTGGTCATTTATTTGTTTCTATTTACGTGATGTGACGGCTCGTTCCATGACACATTCTGTCCTTAGTGTTCTAACAGAATGAATATTGTTGTTTCACGGAACCCCGTTTAAACTCACATCTGACTGCATGCATTACAGTGTGAGATGTTATCAGTCACAAGTTGTGACTGTTTTTTGGTTCTATTGTCACTATTCAGTTCATGACTATTGTTACCAATCAGTTCATTTGATTAATAATCAGTTCACTTGTTATTATTAATCTGTTCATACTGTTCAGCCGTGAATCTGTTGGTTCATGGTCCCTTTTTTCAGCATCTTCCCTTCCCCGTTGAAACTTTCCGGGGCGTTCATGCACTCAGAACGCATAACTACACAGCATGCGTCTGTGCATGGTACACATAATTACGCAACGCGTAATTATGTACATGGGGAGCTGAGTGACAAGACTTTTTTGGGCAAGCTGCCGCTTCGTACGGTGTTCGAATGGACCCAGTGAGGCGAGGACCACATCCGCTTCGCCCTTAACCCACCAGCGACAGCCTTAAAGGGCGAAGCCTATACGAAATAGAACGTTGGTTACGTACTGTAACCCCAGATTCTATGAGTATAGGCGTAGCCCTTTAAGCGTCGGGCCTCACTGGCTCCTAAATGGCTGAAGAAAAAGCTATTTGGGAGCCGATTACCCGCTCTTAACGTAATTTATACGGCCCGGGTGGGGCCCACACAGCAGGTGGGCGTGGACTAAATTTTTCAGTGTGATGCTTTGCATGACGGGATAAAACCCACCAGCGACAGCCTTAAAGGGCTACGTCTATACTCATAGAATCTGGGGTTACAGTACGTAACCAACGGTTGTTTGCAAGCACAAATAACAGCAGCAGGTAGCTTTAGCACTTCCAATACAGCCTGGGTATTTTATTGTTTTCCTCTAAAATAATTGTAATAATAGACTGAGTAAACTTTTGTACTGACAAGATGTGCTGATCAGGTGGACTGATATATTTGGCATGAGGTAATATCATTGTTTCACAACTGCATGACATTTTTTGAAATTAGCTTTTGTGAACAATACAATTAACTAAACCCTTAATTGGTTAGCCATTAGCCTAGCCTGGATGAAGACTTTTGCCTCTAACTCCTTTCTCTGTTCAATGAATTGCGTCACGGCTCATAAGGTACAAACTATTGTTAACGATTAAACAGTCAGAGTCAGAGTCAGAGATTCTTTATTGTCATTCGCACCTCATGTGGTACATGTGGTGGAGCGAAATTATGTACACGGGGTCCCAGTTACATCCAACAATAAAATGTATAAGAAAACCAGTAATAACATCTAAGATATGAACTAAGAAAAACATCAACTAAATATACACTAAGCACTCATAACATAAAACATTGAACATCAGCACAAACATGAACATGAGTCTGTGAGCAGATGTGCACGCATGAACACATCAACATTGAAACAGATCAGCAGCAACATGAAACAGATCAGCAGCAGCATGATATGGTTTTTCACAGTGATTATTCTAGTTAGAGATTCATGAGTCTAACAGCCTCAGGGTAGAAGCTGTTCCTCAGTCTAGTGGTTCTACACTTAATGCTCCTTAACCTCCTTCCTGAGGGGAGTGGGGCAAAAAGTGTGTGTGCTGGGTGAGTGGGGTCCTTCATGATGCAGGTGGCCCTCTTCCTGCATCTGGAGGTGTAAATGTCTGTGATGGTGGGGAGGCTGATTCCAACAGATTTCTGTGCAGCCTTCACCACTCTCTGCAAAGCTTTTCTTTCTGCAGCTGTGCAGCCTCCATGCCACACATTGATGCTCGAGCACAGGATGCTCTCCACTGCACACCTGTAGAAGGAGGTGAGGACTGAGCTTCCCAGACCAGCTCGCCTCAGCCGTCTGAGGAAGTAGAGTCTCTGATGAGCTTTCTTGATCAGGCTGGTGGTGTTGTTGCTCCAGCTGAGGTTGTCATTCAGGTGCACACCCAAGTACTTGTAGCTGGAGACCACTTCCACCGCAGATCCTCTTATATTCAGGGGGGTGTAGGTGTTTTTGTTCCTTCTGAAGTCCACAATCATCTCCTTTGTCTTCTTCACATTGATGTGAAGGTTATTCTCTCTGCACCAGCTCTCCAGGTGTTCCACCTCCTGCCTGTAGCTGGACTCATCATTGTTTGTGATGCATCCCACCACCGCTGTATCATCTGCAAACTTTACAATGTGACAGCCTGGATGGGTAGCTGCACAATCATATGTGAGCAGAGTAAACAGGAGGGGGCTCAACACACATCCCTGAGGAGAGCCAGTGCTGAGGGTTATGGTGGAGGAGGAGAGGTTGTGGATCCTCACTAACTGTGGTCTGTTTGTTAAAAAGTCTAGTACCCAGTTGCAAATGGAGGGGCTTAGTCCTAGTGTGGATACTTTGTCCATCAGGGTTTGGGGGATCATGGTGTTGAAGGCGGATGTGAAGTCCACAAAGAGCATACATACAGTACATCGCTTTAAAAGTCACATGACTGTCTTTAAGGTGACAGCAATTTACTTTGATTTTGGCTCCACTCAGACTAGCCATTAGCCCATCTATCCATTCATAAATAAGCTAATTCTTCCAAAATGAGACTGTTCAAAGTTATCTCCAGCAGGTAAGATATTTATTTATAAAATTAAAAAAACACTTCAAAAGATCCCAACTAATTAAATAGGAAGTCAGAAATTAAAGGTGGAGTATGATGGACTATTGTTACACAATTGTTAATGATTTCATTATAAATATATTTTTCACTAAAAAGTTTAATTTATCATCATATTCTGAGACATTATTTGTACACATACAACTGAAAACAAGAAGATTTATAACAAACAAGCAAACAGACCCCCCCCCCCCCCCCACACACACACACACATAGAATGCAATTAAACAATAAGAAGTTGTAAAAGGAGTAATCATTGGTAATTTGGGGGACTAAAATAACGCAGGAAATGCAATTTCATCAGCAAAATAAAACACATCATACGAAAATCCTAAAAACGTGAATTTTAAAATCTACACATTTGTAAAGCCAAGACCAAAAAGTAAATGTAAGGTTAAAAGAAAAAAGTTACTATTTTTCTTTAAAAAAATTAAAGTTGACACAGTTAAGTCTGATCAAAAAAAGTCATTTAAATGTAAAATGGGGAGAAAAAAAACAACATTAAATAGTCCTTTTAAAAAAAGAAAAATAATTAGTTTGTCCTTTTAGTCAGCAAAAGTAACGTATTTTCATGAAATCTCGTTTCTCTTCAGTTCCACCATCATGTTTTAGGCGCGAGGCTTTGATGTGACCGTCCTCCTGCTCTGATTGGTGGGCTCCTGATCAGTGGGGGCGGGGTTAATTAGCATACGCAGCCGGCCTGATAAAAGAGAGTCAGTCTCACCTGCAGGGTCAGAGCCACAGAAAAGGAGGGGAGTTCACTCAGGTCAGCGTCTTTCAAAGAAGCTCTTGTCTGCGTTGGACTGCCCCCCTCTCCTCTTTACAGGTCGAGCTCTGAGGCTTTCTCTCTCGACCAGAGGTGACTCTCGCGCCGGTTCTGCTGACTTGAGTCCGCTTTGACTCAGTTTCCCGGGCGACCCATGAGGCTGGAGGCGGCAGCCAGGATGGATGTGTTCAGGAAGCTGTGGAGGGCGAGGAAGCTGCTGCTGGTGGTGTTCATCCCGCTGTCCCTGCTGCCCCTGCCGCTGATCCACCCCACCAGCGTGAGTGCAACCTCCTGCTTACTTTGTTAGAAGCCCTCATGGTTTGTTCCTGAAGGGTTTTAGTGCGTGCGTGCGTGCGTGTGACAAAGGAAAGGAAGCAATCAGTCATGACACACTGCCCTTCTGTTTAGATGAGTTCTTGTTCCAAGCAGTCCCATCATCAGCTGGGGGATATGTGTGTGTGTGTGTGTGTGTGTGTGTGTGTGTTCACATGTTGATGGATGGAAATCAGTCTTGTGCTTAAATGCAAACAGAAAACAAAGAAATAAAAAAAGATATGAAATAGAACTGAAGAAAATCAAAGCATATTATTTAAGTTAAAAATCACAGAGAAAACATAAAGATGTGATGTAACAATGGTTGTATAACTATAAAGGTCAAACATGCTAATCTTATTGATTTAAGGTGTCAATATTATTATTTAAATACTTACAGAACGTGTAAAGCTTTATTTACTTTTTATGCAAAAACTTTTAAAAAAAATTTTTTATAGACTTGCCTAAAATCTCAACCTATGTCCATAATTATCAAACTTAATAATTTAATTAGTTTTACCATATTACTTATTTCAGTTGTAAAAATTAAAATAAAAAGTCACCAAATGAAAAGATACAAATACTTTGTCAAGGTCTACTTACTGCAGATGTGGGCAACATATGACCCGAGGGCCAAAAGTGGCCCTTGGACAAGCTCCATCCGGCCCTCAATATGCCTAGATGAAAAGAAAACAGCTTTTAAATAAGTTGATGGAAACCAGCATTTTATCAATGAAACTTAAGGAAATTTAACTTAAACACATTTTACAAATGCATTGAAAACCTTTAGATTAAGCTCAGCTTAGTTGTCATGTTTCCAGAACGAGACTGAATGCATAACTTTTTGCTGCATATTTAGGCCAATAAGTTTATTCTCACAGCATGCTAACTGCGCTACAAAAAGAAAAGAGCAGAAATAAGCATTCCAGAAACGATCAGCATTAAAGAAAATGTATTTTCCAACTCTGTACATTCCTTCTTGTTGGTTTAAATATCTTGATTTGACCCCTGGAAAAAAAAAAAAAACGTTGCCCATCCCTTCCTTACTCTATTGGTTTTTAGAGTTTTTCTTTAAAGTAGCTTGACACGATGCATTATTCTGGGCTGCAGGTGTCTAAAGTCATATCTGATACTGAGAGAAAAGTTTCACACAGTGTTCTTCAGCCAGTCGGAGCTGTAACCCAAAGCTGTACTTTTGCGTCAGCCGTGGTTTGGCATGAGTGAATGTTTCAGCATGTGGCCGTCAAAGAACAAAGGAAGAGAAAGTTCACTTGAAGGAAAAAGAGGAAAACAATGGTAGCAATTAAGTTATGTAATCAACCTACCACCCCGCTGGATTTTGGCCCCCACGTGGCTTTGTTACGACAGCGGGGACCTCAGACTGTGTGAGGAATGTGACAGAGTGTGTGTGTTTGTAGAGTCCAGCTGCAGAAGAACAGAACATCTGTAGGCTGTTGTCAGGACGGGTCAGAGAGGGGAGATCAGAGACTGAGTGGACGCTCATTCTTACACAATATGACGTCTGGATATTAATTATGACTGACCAGTTCCCAAACTTTACTGATTCTGATCCACAAAATGATTGTGACTTACGACCCAAATCATCACTGGTTTAAATCTACAAACTTTGTTAATAACTCTATGAAACAAAGGAATAATGTCCCAGGGCCCAGTGGGGGCACTGACCCCAACTTTTGGGAACCACTGGTCTGAAACACAAGAGTAGAACGGTCCCTGCTGTGGTACAGTCAATGTTTAGCTGAGGAGAGATCCCAGAGTCGGCCATTTTGTGTCAATTTATAGTATCTCTACATTTAAAGACTGACACTAAACCTTTTTCCATCCATCCATTATCTTCTTCTTGTTCTGAAGTCAGTTCTTGGGGGCAGCAGCTTGAGCAGGGAGGTCCAGACATATCTTTCCACAGCCTATGGCAAGGATACTCCCTGGGCACCTCCTTAGGGAGGTACTTCAGGTATGTTCGACTGGGAGGAGGCCCTGGGGAAGACCCAGGACATGTTGGAGAGACTATGTCTCTCAGTTGGCCTGGGAACACCTTGGATCCCTCCCAGAAGAGCTGGAAGAGGTAAGGGTAGGAACGTAGACTGACCAGTAAATAGAGAGCTTTGCCTTACAGTTTAGCTCCCTCTTCACCACAACGGACCGACACAGAGTCCACAATACTGCAGATGCTGCACCAATTCATCTTTCGATCTCATGCTCCATTCTCAAGACTCAATGAGCTGAACCTGTATAAATAAAGGTTGAATGAATTCTTCCCTCACTCATGAACAAAACCCCAAGATACTTGAACTCCTTTACTTGAGGCAGAACCTCACCTTTGACTTCTGACTGAGATGGCCTCAGATTTGGAGGCCGTGGTCTCTACATTATGGACAACATGATGGCGCAACTGGTAGAGCTGCTGCCTCTCAGCGAGCAGGTCCCTGGTTCAAACCCCGGTCCAGGGGCCTTTCTGGGTGGAGTTTGCATGTTCTCTCCGTGCATGCGTGGGTTTTCTCTGGGTACTCTGGTTTCCTCCCGCAGTCCAAAAACATGCATGTTAGGCTGATTGGTAACTCTAAATTGTCCCTAGGTGTGAGTGAGAGAGTGAATGTTTGTTTGTCTCGTTTGTCTCTATGTGTCCCTGTGATGGACTTGCGACCCGTCCAGGGTGTACCCCGCCCCTCGCACAGTGATTGCTGGACATGGGCACCAGCGACCCCCGTGACTCAAAATGGAATAAGCGGGTAAAGAAAATGAATGGATGGATGAATTCTTCCCTCACTCATGAACAAAACCACAAGATACTTGAACTCCTTTACTTGAGGCAGAACCTCACCTTTGACTTCTGACTGAGATGGCCTCAGATTTGGAGGCCATGGTCTCTACATTATGGACAACATGATGGCGCAACTGGTAGAGCTGCTGCCTCTCAGCGAGAAGGTTGCCGGTGCAAATCCCGGTCCGGGGGCCTTTCTTGGTGGATTTTGCATGTTCTCTCCGTGCATGCGTGGGTTTTCTCCGGGTACTCCAGTTTCCTGCCACAGACCAAAAACATGCATGTTAGGCTGATTGGTAACTCTAAATTGTCCCTAGGTGTGAGTGAGAGAGTGAATGGTTGTTTGTCTCTATGTGTCCCTGTGATGGACTGGAGACCTGTCCAGGGTGTCCCCCGCTCTTCACACTGTGATAGCTGGACATGGGTACCAGTGACCCCCGTGACCCAAAATGGAAGAAGCGGGCAAAAGATAATGGATGGATGGGTCTCCACGTTAAAAATAATAATATTTAAAAATTTATTTTGTAAACAAGACAAACTATTAGGAATTTACCAGAAGGTATGATGGAGCTGCAGCAAAGGTGGAAGTAGATGTTGTTGTAGGCTGAGACTAAGGAGCTATCCACACAGAGATGTTTTATTTATTTATTTATTTTATTTTAAACATTCTAGTATTGGAAATGGAAATGGCATTTTTAAGTGCCCCAAAAAGGAATAAAAAAAAAAGAGTAAAAATAATCGTGAAGCATCACCTTGCATATTTGTTTAGACGGCCAAAATGCATCATTGCTTGTCCTAGCCCCACCTCTAACCTTACCTGCTACCCGAGGGAATCCTCTTCCTCTTGAGGGGGCGGCTGCGGTGAAGTGGTAGGACAACCGACAAGACCAGAAAGTCACAGGTTCAACTCCCCTCCATGCTTGCATGTTGTGGTGTCCTTGAGCAAGACACCCAATCCCTTACTTCTCCCTGGGCACTTACGTAGCTGCCCACTTCTCCACCTGATTGTATCTCACGTTTGATGGTTTAAATGCAGAGAACTAATTTCATCATTGTATATGAACATACAATAATGACAACACATAGCACTTTCTTCTTTTTCTTATATTTCGCACACAGCGTGAAAACATACTGTGCATATTAGAGGCCTTGTTTCCTGTTTTAGTGTAATTTTATCGCAACGTTTCAGGACTACAGACCAGACTTAGCTGCTACAGTATGTTTTGGATCGTTTTAATTTGGATGAGGAAAATTTTCAAAACAGTGCCACGTTTAAGGTTATTTACCGTATTTTCCGACCTATAAGTCAGTTTTTTGCATAATTTACATTCCCTGTGACTTATACACCGAAGCGACTTATGTTTTTTCCCATATTTACAAACCAATTTGTGGCTGAGATGACCGTTTTCATTTATTCTGACTGAAAATGTTGAACACTACCGTTTTCAGCCGCTAGATGGCACTCGAGTAGTATGGCATTCTGTTGTGTCATGTAATAGGTAAAAGTGGCTATTAATGGCACAATTGGATTGCCATAACCTGCCGCCTTCTTCCAACTCCGGGATCATGCCTGGAGCAACCGTCAAATCAGCTTCATTTCGCTGCACCGCCCCAGAGAAATGCAGCTAATTTAATCATTGAAGTGCATTTATTAAGGAAAAGTTCAACTGAGACACATCTTTACTATAATGCTGAACAAACATATTTTTTAAGTGTTAATCCTGTAAATTTTTGTTAAAGTCCTCCTGTGCACGCTCCTGCAGCTGCCATTTGGCAGACCATCGAGTTTTGGCACAACACCGGCCCACATTTCCAGGTTGTCAGTGGTGACGCGTAATAGATGCGACTTATACAGCAAAGCAACATATTTGTTTTTTTCCATTTTATTAGACACTGATGCGATTTTATAGGGCGGAGCGACGTGTACGGCAGAAAATACAGTAATAGAAATGACAAATCTAAACATAGTTTTGGGAAAACAACAAAGTCCATGCTCAATAATCCAGGTATACAATCCAACATTTTTCAGTCGGGTCATCTGGAAAGTTTCTTTTTTTTAATGCTGAAACATTTCGCCTTCGATCCGGAAGGCTTCATCAGTCAAGGAAACACACAAATGTAGATAAATACATCAAGTTCACACGAGAAGATGTAAAAAATGACAAGTTGGCTTTCTTGGACTG